ATAATCAACAGCAATTGGCAAAAATACAGCAACAGCTTAATGATATTCTAAATAATCAAAATGAAAGTGAGATAACTTCGCAGAAAAGTGTATATATTTTAATTATATATTTTATCTGGTTTTTTTATTCTATAAAATTTATTTATTTCAAATTTTTAGCATCGAAGCCTGCAATGTTATTTAGTATATACCTATGTCGTTGGTAAGAATAAAAATCTTTCTAGTCCAGAAGCATGATACCAAGTGGTTGAAATAATGGAAGATGGCTGTATTTACGATATTTTAAGAAAAATGGACTGCCTATATCTCTTACCATACAAAGTAACTATTTAGGTCACACCGAATAATAAATTCAATCCTAAAGAGACTATCACTACTACCACCAAATTAAATGCATGGGATGTTTGTTTCTCTTATAATTTTTCTCAACTACAATGTTAGTTTTTTGGTTTTTTAGTTCGAAACATGGACTATCATTACGCTACTTTAATTGAATTTTGTGGAAAGTGTAATCGCTGGGGTACATATTTTGAATCACAATACCACGGTATGTAATTTAATCATTCAAAATATAATTACAAGATTTTATATTAATAAATATAAATCATTTAGTAGAAGATCCTGCAAGAATTAGTAAATGATTTGTCATAGAAGCGAATCTTTTTTGATAATCATTTTACAATTAAGTAAACTTTGAATTATTTTCCACACTTCTTGATATCTTGCTTCTCTTTTATAATTTGAAACTTTTGCAAGGTTAATAGCATAGTAATGTTCATCAGGCCTAGTGTTCTACAAAAAAAAACCGGTTGGAACTAGCATTTTTAGTAGCCATAAAAGTAGTGTTTCACTAAAGGAGCCCGAACTAAAAATTGTATTTTTAATAATATGGAAAACTCCACACTAGAAAAAGGCTTCACTTTGTATTTTCCGCATGTCTGTCATCAGTAGCAAGTCTTCAAAATCACCAGATCCAGACCCAGAACCAGAACCAAAAACTTTGAAGAACTTTGAAGGCTTACTACTGGTGACAGGCATATGGAAAATACAAATTGAAGCCTATTTCTGGTGTAGGTTTTACTACACTATTATATATATAGTTTTCAGTTCAGGTACCTTTTTTGGAATACTACTTTTATGCCAACTAAAAATGCTATTTCAACTGGTTCTTTTTTGCGAAATACTAATCAGGTCTACCAAATAATTGATTGTGAAGTAATTAGCCAATTAATTGCAATTTTTGTAAACATTACGTAATTAGTATGTCATATCATATTTGCTGTCAAAAGAAAAATTATATTCATTTCCTGCGCCAACTTTAGTAATGTAATCGATTAAATTAATAATTACCATATTAAAATAATGCCCCAGGGTGTGGTTTAAGATATTGGCCTAAATTAAGGTTGAATTAAGCCAAAATTTTAAACCACACCCTGGGGCGTTATTTCAAGACAATATAGTAATTAAATTTATATCACATAAATTATATTGATATTCATTTATTTCTAATTTAGTGCAACCATGTGTAACAAATAATTTGAAAGTATTATTTATACAATTATGTAATATAAAATATATATTTACTACTTAAAATCGTATTACACCAAGATACTTACAAATTCAAGTTTAATTTTACCAGATTTAAATTTTTTTTTTACCCTGTACATGGAAAATTGAATTTAATTGCAATTAATTGCAATTATTTTGTCATTAATTGGGTTTTAATTAATTTTGTCAAGTGTATATATAATTGTAATCAATTAAAATTATCATAAAATTGATTGCAATTAATTTTTCAGTAGGCCTGGTGTTCATGTCAAGTGCATCTGCTAACACGTTTCTTCCCAAATGTAAAATTAAATAAAATTAAATAAAGACAATAACTTGAATTTTGCATTTCAATTAATTTTTTATTAAATACAAAAAATAGTTTAATGCATTGTTACGAGGCATTTTTTGATTAATAGTACTGTATATATCTTTTTATATCTTTTTAAAGTGTCTCATTTCTTATCGATTTATTTTAATACAAAAAGATAGTTTACATAATTATGACTTTTCTTCGGTTATAGATTTTTATTTAAATTTTGAATTTAATTTCTTACGAACAAAAACAAGTAATAAATTTAGTAGTATATTTAATAACATCAATTATAGAATAAATGCACAACAAATCCAAGCGATAGATTTTGATAACGTAGAACAAGTAAAAGTAAAGAATATCAAACTGACATATCTAGTCAATTAAATTATACTCAACTAAGTTCACCTTATTTTATTGATTAGATAAAATAATTTCTCGACGAATTTTGAAAATACAGGACACACGTGTTTTTTCCTTGAGTATATACAGTGTTTGAAAAAAGTCTTTAGATAAATATCACGTGACTAATTTCGATCTACATAACTTTTTCTTTTTTAGCTAGAATCCCGCTGATCAAAGTGATGTTTATTAATTGTTTAAATGATCTTTTTTTTTTGTCGCAGTTTGGATTTCGCTACCCACAATTTTTTTTTATTAATCAATAAAAGTGTATGTCCATTAAGATATATAAGAAAAGGCTATTCGATGATTATGAGATAAAAAAAAATTGAAATCAAAAGGAAATACAGCAACTAACCAGCCTCTTGAAGTCTACGATACACTAACTTTCTTAAACTAAAAAACAAATGCGGGTATAGTAGATCAGAAACATTAAGGCACTCTTAAAAAAATACTCTCTGAAATCCCAAGATCCTGGTTTAATAAGTAAAAAAAGCTTTTAAACATTTACAAGAATGCTGGCTGCCAATTTTTTTTAAAAAAGTGATTCAGGTCCATGTAGTAGGTTCACGTAACTATTTAAGCCATCTTAGCTATAAAAAAAAAAGCTGTGCAGGGCAGCACTAAGGTTTATGGAAGGATATGTTTAAAGTATATTAAAATAGGCAAAAATTTTTATCAAAAATAGGAACTGGGACATATTTACTAATAAACTGGTTTTCTAGTCACTTGGTAATACCATAGAGTACTAATATAAAAGCGAAATAGCTGGTATGCTAAACTCCAAAAGGAAAAAAATTTTACCTGTAAAGTGTTTTAATTGGAAGACCAATCAATCCTTCTTTCCTTTTAGGAAATAATAAATCGTCTATTTTACGTTTGAAATTTAAACAAAACACTTTAAGAGAAGCTTGAAGAAAGCTATGGTTCCATTAGTTGTTTTAATATGACAGCGATTCCAAACATATAGATAACATAGTGAAGCATATCCAAAAAAAATACCCGAATTAATTGCCTGGTTTTTTTGATAACACGATTTAAAACCAAAAAAAAAATTAGAAATTATTGTTAAGAGAGATATTAAAAAATAGTAGCGAATGAATTAAGTAAATTGGATAATTCGTGGATTTTTTGGAATTTTTTTTCAAAAAAACATTTTAGCAAGTTTGCTAAGGTCAATTAATAATAATTGTAAACTTACAAATAATAAATAGGGATTAGTATTTTGTGTTAAATTTTTTATTATCAAATCTATAGCTTTTCGGCTTTTTAATAAGTTGTTAATCACGTGATTTGGTGTAGTCGTCATTAAGTTATTGCTATGTGAAGTTGTCCAAAGACTTTTTTCACACACTGTATTAAAATTATGTGCATTACCCTTTTGAATGACATGATTTTTTATAGCATTAGTAGATTTAAATAAAAAAAAATATGAGATTTTTTAATAACGTATCGAAATTTAACGGAATAATCATGTGACTTATTTCAGCATCATTGATGCTATAATACTATGATGTGTATTTAATCTAGTACTTAATAGTATTTAATCTTCAAAAATTAACCAATTATATGAATGTCCTCAATCCTTCTGATAATTAAACAAGCCAAGTATAAATTTATTACTTGAACATATTAAAAAAATTATATTACAAGAAAAAACATTTGATACATTAGCCTTTACTATTTGAGCCGTAAAGTTTCTAGGTCTCACAACTTGGACGCAGTATCATGAGACCCATATAAAGGATATAAAATTAAGAAAATGTGTTGTTATAATGGTGATATTTTTTAAAAAAAATAGATGCAAGAAAATGTAGTTAAATTTGGAAAGTGACAGAATTTTTTTTAATTCTGGTTTAAATATTTTTTAAGAAATAAAAAAATCGATCGTCAAGGCATGCCAAACCTTAATGAAAGGAATTTCTTATTTTTTTCATTAAACATCTGGATAAGAAATTCTTAGAAACCAGGATTAACCAAAATTGTTTAGTGCTTCATAAATCGGATTTGATCTCTATAATCGAACAGTTTTGGCTAGTGGTATAATATCACGATGCTACTATCAAATAGAGTGTTTATTATCTTGTTGATATTACCGTTGGGTCAAAAAACAACTTTAAAAAAACCCGATATTTTCAGGATCTCTCCCAGCTAGTTTTTTGTTGCGTAGAGTATCTAGCTTCTTGAATTCCCTTTGGTGAACAAAGGTCTTGTGGTTCTTTCATTCTTTAAAAAAAAAAATAGAAAAAACCTGTCAATTCAGGAGAACCACCAATACTCACCCGATTATGGGTGTCAGTTACTTTAGTTTTAGCATATCCTTAAACTCTTATTAGAATTTACCCATGAACGGAATTCCCAAAAAAGAAGATACGACCCAAGCCAAATTAACAAAGACTTGCTCCTTATTTAGGGGTAGAGTAACCTATGAATTAACTGAAAAGAAGGGATAGAATAATGACAGACAGATAGGATTAAATCCGGGTGCAAAAGGCTAATGGGGCCAGGTATGGGCTTACGTTTCAACAAATTACGCAGGTTAACCAGGACAAGTTACCCAATAATTTGCATCATCAACAGCCATCTCAGTTACTCATTATTTGCGATACGCCCGGATGATCGTGCGGTTTTACAGTGTCCTTGTCTACAGGTTGATGGATTTATCTGGGCCTATCCCGAGCTAGCAACGGCTATACCGCCAGTAGCAATACTCAAGTTAGCAAGCGTTAACTACTGTTTTATACATCCAATACTCCACTGTGAGGCTATTTATTAGCTATTTGTTAGTAATTCAAAGTTTGAAACCTGTATCTGAAGACACGCAGTTATTGAATCTTTGTTCTAGAACACATATCATTTAACATTTTTTATTTTAAAAAACATGGAACTTTATAAAAAAAAATTTGCTGCCTAAAATAATTTTATTCGCTCTACTTCTCTTCTTTTTAATCTTAAAAATTTTCTAAAACAAAAAAAGTTGTAAAAATAACTATTAATTAAATTTTACAAAATAAAATAATGAACGAAAAAAAAAATACTATCCTTTTATTTTTCACGTATCAGTAATATTGATAGAAAAGTAAAATAAAAAAAAATAAAGAAACTCTTCTTGACTATATCCGAAGTCGTTCGTTGAAAATTTTTGCATGAACGAACCAGGACGGTTAAACGCTAGCGGATATACATAGGCCCAATCTGACATTCAGTAGTTCAAAGAACCGTGTATGAAGCATATTTTATGCTTGTATTTGTATACTAGCCACCTTGACATTCGTTCAGAGGCCCTATCATACGACCGACAACTGAGAATGTACTATATTATAATCAAAAAAGCACAATATTTTTTCATTTTACTTTTTAAATAAAGGGAATCTAAATTTTTCTACAAAAACAAAAATAAATTAAATGAACTGTTTATACAAAAAGAGAAAAAAATATAATAAATAAATAAATAAATAACGTATCTTTTAAATTATTTTATTTCTATTTATTTTTCAATTTGATGTATTTGGGTTAACAAAAAATAATTGAAAGAACGATGGGATGTTAACTTTCTTGCTAGGCAAGAAACTACACTATGCAACATCCAACAATCATAGCGCAGCTGGCACGAGAAAAAACAAAAGAGAAAGGTTTTTTTTGGATTAAAAATTGTATGCGTATAAGCTATATATAAGCTTATATGTATAAAAAGAGGTAAACAAAAACTTGAGATTTTAAAAAAAGAAATGATAATTATGATAATTTCATCCAATCGAAACTTATAAAGTGTTAGCACTCATAATAATGATAATGATAACTTCTTGAAAAAAATAATGAGCATGATAATTTCAGCCAATCGAAACTTATAAAGTGTTAGCATTCATATAACTCCTTGACACTTTATTATTATTATTATAGTATGTTAGTTAACTTTATTATACTATAATATATTCGGTTATTATATGTAGATAGTTAGAGGTGCGATCCATATACTAGTAGTTAATATAAATAAACTGTAGTTTATTGTAAAACTGTAGTTAACTGTAGTTTTAAATAAACTAATAGTTTATTTATACATACGTATTGTAATTCATAGTTTGGTTTTAAAATAAACTACAATTTATTTATATGTACTTTAATTCACAGTTCTTATCTCTAATTATATGTTGTGATTTATAGATACGAAGATTACACATGGTCTGTCACGAGAACACCTCATCGGTGAATTAAACACAAGAAATTAAACTTTTCTTTAACATCAATATTCAAAAGTTTCAAAATTTTATTATTGAGAAATGCCAAAAAACCATTCAAAAAGATGCCGAGTTGGATTTGAGAAAATACAAACCCAATCTACTTCACTCAATTCTCTTTGCTTCAAAATGTATTGAGTCTTTAGGATACTGATTTGAAATTTTAATATACAGTCAGACCTCGTTATAGTCACTTTTGATATAGTCACAACCTTGTTATAATCACACTATTTCCTTGTTCTAACTATTATAAAACATATAAATTTTGACCTTCATGTAGTCACAACTTTTTATAATCACCAAAATTTTGTTTCCCAACCTGGTGATTATATCAAGGTCTGACTGTATTTATTTTGATTAGTTATTTTTCATAGTAAAATGAATGTCCTCAATTCTTCCGATAATTAAACAAGCCAATCACAACACAGCATAAATTTATTAATTGAACATATTAAAAAATTATATTACAAAGAAAAAACATTTGATAAATTAAACAATAGGAAAATCCTGATACCGCGAAGAGACATCAGACATTTACAAATAAGCTTCTATATTTTAATTAAGAAGGTTCGAATTACAGTATATATTTTATCATTCTCAATATTATGAATATATTTCTTAACCCCATGCAAAATAATTAAATAAAGTTATGAATTTAACGTCTACTTTACAAAAAATAAATACAGGATGAATACTATAAATTCTATTGGCAAGAAAACTAATCTAAATCCAATATATTGAAACTATTTAATACAGCACAAACCCATCATGATCTGGATATCCGAACCCATGACTTCCAGTCATTATTTCAGCAAACAAATCTTTTAGTCATACTATTATATTTCAATTAGATTGGTCGACTCCAAAAGTTCTATACACAATTGGCTCATAAGGATCAGTATACAAATATGAATGCTTCAACTTATTGATCCTATAAAAATTGATAAAAATCAGTTTGAACTTCTATGTACCAGCTGGAGGAAGCCAAAATATACTTACCACAAGATTATTGAACATATTATAAACTCAGCAATTAATATAACAATAAGAATGTTTTGGCAAGTACCCATTTTATGAAAATTTTTCTTACAAATTTAACATTGTAAACAGTTAATTTCTCTTGAACTATCATTTTCAATATCTTTAAATCATAAAAAAATCGCATCATATACTTTATATATTTTTGGATTGCGTACAATTGAGTAACAGACCATATTATATATTAATTTTATTATAGAATACATACAGCATTCGAAGTTTCAATATAAAATAGGTAATACGAATAATAGCGGCTAAGATAGCATAAATTTAGTCAATTAATTATCTCCTTATCTCCTTATTTGAACAAGTTCATTTAATCAAACAAAGCTTCTTTTTTGATATATAAATTTTCTACACCAGTAAATAGAATATATACTAATATATACTTAATATATTATATAAATTTTAATATAGTACAAATAATACAGTAAACAAGTCTTAATCTGTTAGCAAGTTTAAAATAAACCAGAAAAATTATATTATTATATAGAGTTTTAGTGTATAAGCTTATATTTAATCTTTTTAGATTGATAAAAAAGCACGATAAAAAAATAAGTAAGATCTGCAGTTTAGAATTAGTAATTTTGAAATTATTTCTACTACTACTGCACAGTTTAAAATTAATTGATATCAAGAAAGAAAAACCGTAGTAACAACAATCTTATAAAGATCACGTGTAAACTTTTATAAATAAAAGAAAAATCAGACTTTGGAATTATAACATGAAGATACTCATGAAAGTTTTTTAATCTTTAAAATGAAAGTTTTTTTTATAAAAATGACTTTTCATGCCAGTTCTATCACATGTTTGTCAAATGAAGTTCTCATAGAGATATTTAAATATATAAAAAATAATTATACAAATGATTGCAAAAACTTATTTTCATATCTTCTTGTGAACCATGTATGGTGCAGAAATATTATATCGATATTATGAAATGCACTTTACTTTAAAAATACAAAAGTTATCAAAATCTGTTTTTTAGAACTAAATACAAATGAACAAGCACTGTTGGTCCCTTTTAAAATTGAATTTCAAGCAAATAATCCGATGCCATTATTTGAATATACAAATTTTATTACAACTATCAACAGTCAAGATTTGAACAGTAGAGTGTTAAATTTTCTTCAATGCGAAGAAAGCTATCTTGTAACAGCTGCTAAATGTTCTTTGATTTCAATGTTCTTACGAAAAAGCAAAAAACTTAAAGATTTAAGTCTTAATAATCTTAGTTCTTTTGGAGGAAACACTGTAGCAGCTTTTGGAGAAAATACTGTAGTAGTGTTAGCAGATGCTCTTTTCAAAAACGCTTTAACATTTTTAGATCTTACAAATAATAACCTTGGTTCATTGGGAGAAAACGTACTAGAAAATAGTCTTTGCAAAAACAACACTTTAACTATTTTATATCTTTCAAATAATAATCTTGGTTCATTGGGAGGAAATGCACTAACAAATGCTCTTTGCAAAAATAATACTTTAACTATTTTAGATCCTTCAGATAATAATCTTGGTTCGTTTGGAGGAAACGCACTAGCAAATGCTCTTTACAAAAATAACACTTTAACTTTTTTAAATCTTTCAAATAATAATCTTGGATCTTACGGTGGGAAAGCAATAGCAGAAGCACTTTCTAAAAATAATGTGTTAACCACTTTATTACTTTATGATAATGAACTTGGATCCGATGTTGGAAAAGCACTATCATATTCACTTTGCAAAATTAACACTTTAACTATTTTAGATCTTTCAAATAATAAGCTTGGTTCTTACAGAGAGAAAGCACTAGCAGATTCTCTTTGCAATAATATCGCTTTAACTTTATTATATCTTTCAAATAATAACCTTGGTTCTTACAGAGGGAAAGCATTAGCAATACTGGTCAAAATCAAAAATATAAACCAAATATCATCAAGCAATCATCTAATCGATAGCTGGCCGATAGTTTGGT